ACATCGTTTCGCTTTCGTGTTAGAGGTTTTGTTGTTGTTTTGTCGTTTGTTTATTTCCCTCTTATTATATTGATGATTTTTTTGTATTTCCTGTTGAATTCCTGACTGCCATCAGTTGTTCTTGTTTTATCCTCACTCCAGAATTGTAGTTGCTACTCGTTCCTCCTGTTGCTGCTGCATTTGTCTTTTCAATTGCCATTGTAGTCAATTTGCAATGTTCGAACTTTATAGCCCTCTTCAAAACTTCTTCGGGATCTAGCGTTTCAAATGTCAGAGTATCCTGTAACGTCATATTTTTCATTTTCGAAATGAATAAATTGCGAACTATCTCATTTTCCAGTGTTCCAAGTTCTGCCTCCAGTTATTCTCCAGATTCTTGCATTCGTGTGAACAATTTATATCTTTCATAAGTCACGCATTTTACCTTTTGAAACGAAGTCTCTGCAAGCTCTGTAATTTCCCTGAACGACATTTTGGAAATTTTGACGTGTCGATTCTTCTGTAAGAACCGTTTCTTTCCTTCTGTTCCGAGTCAGAGAAATATTCTGGATACCAGTTTCTTTTGCACCTCATTGTATAAAACATTGTGTCCAACCCTTGAGCCCCTTGTTCTTCTCTCCTCATTTTTCAGCATTCTTCGATCTCTTGCTAACTTATCTCGAAGATTTCTGGCTATCGTTGCAGCTTTATTCTCTCCATTTTTTGGTGTTTCTGGTCGTGGGGGTGGTTCTTCTAATATGTCTTTTGTTCCCTCCAACATAACCTCTGGTTTTACGTTTTCTTTCACGGATACTGCCATCAGAAATTGCTCAAACCAGATTTTAAATTGCCACGGAGGGTCTAAATTCGCTGACGCCCAGAATACGGGTATTCCCATATCCGTACGATTGTCCTGAGCTATGAATCCTGCTGGCTGCGCCATGTGATATCGTATGCGGTATCGGGTGAAAACTAATGTTAATTCAATAATGTAATCTGGTTTAATTGAATTAAATTTTCTTTCCTTTTTCTAAAGTTAGTCACTGAGAGTGATACTGCAGAATCAAAACTCTGAGCTCATAGCTGTGTGTCAATGTCCCTGCACACATGACCTTGGACACATAATAATAATCATAATAATCATAATAATAATAATATTAATAATAATAATAATTAATACCACTGAAGGTTAGTATTACATCATGCAATAACTGCTATTGCAGTAGCAGTAGGACAACTACAAAAAACGACAGCAAGACTCTCGAGTTTAAGCTCGAAGTTTAACAAAAAAAGCACTTCAAAGTTTCAGACAATAAAGCTTGAACTATATATATATATATATATTTTTATGATTCCTAGTAAGATTTCGCTTCCAAAGTTTCGTTTCAATCATATTGGTTGTGCATAGATATCAGAACAAACGCCAACTGGATCACCACAAAACAATAATAACCAAAATTAACACCCAGTATCTCAGTGATCTCGATTTTGGTGGATTCAAGTTTAGTATCGCTTCAGTAAACTTTGTACTGACCCCTGATTCGGAAAAGTGATGTCCCAACCAATTCACCTGTTGTTTGCAAAATTCACATTTTGAGATTTTCAACGCCAAATTTCAATCACTCATTTTTTTCAGCACCGTTTCCACCATTTTTCCATGTTCTATTTCGCTACCTTTCGACACGATAAGAATGTCACCCAGAAAACAAAATGTGTTTTCTGCGAGGTTAATACTTCTGTTCATGGCTTTTTGGAATTCAGCAGGCATGTCTGCTATTCCCTAAAACCCTGTGAGGAATCTATATGTCCCGGTAGCCTTTCCACCGACGATATTAAAGATTAAAGTTACACTGCTTAGCTGTGTCTGCAGCCAATTTTAACTGACTATACGCGTCTTTTAAGTCTAACACCGTGAAATAAAGTGTACCCTCTTTGTTTTTGGTAACAATTTGGCTTACCTCATCGATTAGTTCATCTACGTTGGGCATTTGGTACTTATTTTTGAACAGTTGTCTGTTTATTGGTTTTGCGTCCATCGCCAATTTTTTTGATATTGAGTCTTCCTTTTTTACAATTGGGGCTATGAAACAGTCGCTTGTAAATTTGTCTAGCTTTGTGATATGACCTTCTGTCAACAGTTTTTCAATTTTTTTTTCTACTTTATCCTGAATATGAATTGGAATTCTCCTCCCCTTTTCTTGAATCGGACATTGGGGATACTTGAATTTTGAACTTACAAAGTGATTTTTTGAAATTCCTTGTCTTTCAAATAAATTACTGAATTTATTAAAAATTTGTTTTTCCAACCTTCTGACTGATTGCACTTGAGCACGTCAAACCTGGACATTTCTCTCGGAGCTGGTTTTTGTGTGGTGACTATCCCCACTCCTCCTTGTAAATCCAAACCCATTATGCATCTGTTTTTACGTTCCGTCACCAGGAATGTAGCTCCCTTCACCTCCCAGCCTGCCGATCGAAGATTTTTTTTCAATGCCCCCAATACACAGATCGGGTGTTTGTTGTGATCAATGAATTTTGTAGTCAAGTTCAGTTTGTCAGACGGGATGAATCTTGCCTTTTTTGATTTATCCATTATTTCTTTAGCCGTCGCCCATTTTAAGAAAGAGACTGGACTTCCGGTATCTACCGTCAATTGTATTATCTGATTGTCAATTCTTACCATGGCCTTCAGTGATTTTACTCTATTCAACATTGGGTCTTGGATTGAATCAATTTTTTGGACTTGTACCTTCTCTCCATTTAACCTCTTATTGTTCTCGCTGATACTGTCCCCCACAATTTTCGAGATTCTTTTGTTCTCCCTCTGATGTGTTTGTATCGACATTACTTCAAAGTCACTACATGAACCAAAACTTTCTCTTATCTGATCACATTCCTCTTCTGATCCTTCAGATTCTTCCGCAACCTCACTCACTTGCTGAGATCTGCACATTTTTTCAAAGTGATTGGGTTTCCCACAACTCTTACAAGTTTTGCCCATTGCGGATCAGTTTTTTAAATGTCCCTGTTCGAATACTCTTCCACATCTGTTACATCGTTTCGCTTTCGTGTTAGAGGTTTTGTTGTTGTTTTGTCGTTTGTTTATTTCCCTCTTATTATATTGATGATTTTTTTGTATTTCCTGTTGAATTCCTGACTGCCATCAGTTGTTCTTGTTTTATCCTCACTCCAGAATTGTAGTTGCTACTCGTTCCTCCTGTTGCTGCTGCATTTGTCTTTTCAATTGCCATTGTAGTCAATTTGCAATGTTCGAACTTTATAGCCCTCTTCAAAACTTCTTCGGGATCTAGCGTTTCAAATGTCAGAGTATCCTGTAACGTCATATTTTTCATTTTCGAAATGAATAAATTGCGAACTATCTCATTTTCCAGTGTTCCAAGTTCTGCCTCCAGTTATTCTCCAGATTCTTGCATTCGTGTGAACAATTTATATCTTTCATAAGTCACGCATTTTACCTTTTGAAACGAAGTCTCTGCAAGCTCTGTAATTTCCCTGAACGACATTTTGGAAATTTCGACGTGTGGATTCTTCTGTAAGAACCGTTTCTTTCCTTCTGTTCCGAGTCAGAGAAATATTCTCGATACCAGTTTCTTTTGCACCTCATTGTATAAAACATTGTGTCCAACCCTTGAGCCCCTTGTTCTTCTCTCCTCATTTTTCAGCATTCTTCGATCTCTTGCTAACTTATCTCGAAGATTTCTGGCTATCGTGGCAGCTTTATTCTCTCCATCTTTTGGTGTTTCTGGTCGTGGGGGTGGTTCTTCTAATATGTCTTTTGTTCCCTCCAACATAACCTCTGGTTTTACGTTTTCTTTCACGGATACTGCCATCAGAAATTGCTCAAACCAGATTTTAAATTGCCACGGAGGGTCTAAATTCGCTGACGCCCAGAATACGGGTATTCCCATATCCGTACGATTGTCCTGAGCTATGAATCCTGCTGGCTGCGCCATGTGATATCGTATGCGGTATCGGGTGAAAACTAATGTTAATTCAATAATGTACTCTGGTTTAATTGAATTAAATTGTCTTTCCTTTTTCTAAAGTTAGTCACTGAGAGTGATACTGCAGAATCAAAACTCTGAGTTCATAGCTGCGTGTCAATGTCCCTGCACACATGACCTTGGACACATAATAATAATCATAATAATCATAATAATAATAATATTAATAATAATAATAATTAATACCACTGAAGGTTAGTATTACATCATGCAATTACTGCTATTGCAGTAGCAGTAGGACAACTACAAAAAACGACAGCAAGACTCTCGAGTTTAAGCTCGAAGTTTAACAAAAAAAGCACTTCAAAAATTTCAGACAATAAAGCTTGAACTATATATATATATTTTTTTTATGATTCCTAGTAAGATTTCGCTTCCAAAGTTTCGTTTCAATCATATTGGTTGTGCATAGATATCAGAACAAACGCCAACTGGATCACCAAAAAACAATAATAACCAAAATTAACACCCAGTATCTCAGTGATCTCGAGAATTCTCATAACATAACTCGATGTCATCACTCGAAGCAGCAGCCTTGACATACAAGCATTTATGTCGCTCGGTGATGGTTCTTGCTTCTGTAGCTTTATTGGAAGAAGATTTAGGATTTTCTCCGGGAAATTTTTAAGAAAATCGAAAACTTTTTCAGTCGACCAAAGTTTTTGCAGTCGACCAAACTTCCCGCTCTTGAGCTCCATGAATAACTTTCGGTTAAATTTGAGTTTCACAAATTTTCTGCGTCAAAGGCAATTAAAAAAACATGTCAAATTGCAAATTTGGACCCTAACGGTGGGCCCTGTAGGTGGTGAGGGGCTCGAAAAAACTCGAAAGAATCATTAGAAGCAAAATCATTTTTTACCTTGGCCGAAAACATTCAAAAGACAATATGAAAATAAATTGAACAATGAAAAGGGAGAAAAATCGTCCAAATAACCGATTTACCAAAAGCCGATTTACTCATACTTATCGGCTGCTTAGCATCCGTCCCGAGCATACCTTGTTTACATACGGTCTGATGACATCCAGTCGGGCGATGACGTCATCACTGTCGGCCACATCGACCACCAGATGAAGTATGTTGGGCAGGTCGAACTTCTTCACCCTCGCTCGACCACTCTGGGATGTTTTGATGGACACTAGCAGCTCAAGGTAGTGATGCATCTCCACTGCAAACCCCTCTAAAAATCAAATTGGTTTTACAGATCAAGTTTAACATCCTCAACCAACCCCCAAGGTCTTATCAAACCCCACGGTCGTCTATAACGTAGTCGTGGATGCGCAAAAGTAAGATCATTTTTTACATTTCTCTGGATAACTTTATTCAAAGCGCTCAAAAAGACTATTTCTTTTGCACTGCATTTTTATATGACTTAGACTGTGTACGGATCTAAGATTTTCTTGAAAGGGTGGCGGACTTTCCGAGGAGGGGTGCAATTTTTTGGCCGGCGCTGCCCTTGAATTTGTTTGTGTTGGCGCCAATATCGCCTTTAGATAAAATTTAAAGGCTAGCCGGCTGTTGATGGATGACACAAATTAGTTCAATATTAAAGGCTAGTTTCGAAAAAATAGCATCTTTGTTAATATTTGCCATTTTCTAGAATTTTGCTGCATTGATTACTTTGTTTAGCTTACGATATCAATATTCATGTTGTTTCAATGCATTTGTAAATGGAAAGACGTAAAATCTTTGGTGACTCGGGCTTTGAGAAACTATGGTCTTACCACTTATTTTTCGATTACAAAGACAACCCAAAAATTTTGAAAACAAATAATTTTATAAAATCACATTTTTGATTTATGGAAAAAGGCTAGTCATAAAAATTTCACATATGAAAAGATATTTTTATAAGCATTTCTTGTACTTTTAAATTTTATGAAAGTGTGATGGCAGTTAAAAGAGTCGAGTGACTCCTTTTAATGTTCTTCTAACTAATTTCTAAACTGACAACATTTTTTTAATATTTAAAATCAAGATAAAATATTCAGCTCTTAAATATTCAAAACATTAAATTATCCAGAAACCTCAATGCATGTCGACTTATCACTCGAATGCTTTTCTATTAAGTCAAGCAGGGCGGATTTAGGGGGGGGGGGGTAAGGGAGGGCGGACGCTTCCCTCCCTCCCTCAGGGATTCGACCCCTTGCCGATCCAAAGGTTACCCCTTTGGTACTTTTTAAGAAATTCATTTTTGGCCGACCGACCCTTAAACTTTTCTAAGGGCGCCTTTGGCGCCAATATATACTGATTTTTTTGTCAAAATTTTCCAAAAAGTGCCCAAAAACGGCTTTTTTGACCTGTTTTTTTTCTTCAAAAAATTGCCTGCAGCGCAGAGAATTTGGCCAAAACAGCGTCTTTTTTGTGCTTTAGGAGACCTCGGAAAATCAATTTGGTCGACCTAAAAATAATTCGTCAAATACTTCGAAACTTTTTTGAAAATCCCCCTCGAGAAAATCCTAGATCCGCCCTTGAAATCAAGTCTAATTTTTTAGTGCAGACGTCATGTTCATAATAAAAATACTACGTTTTTTAATCAGCTTCTTTAATTGAATTTTACTGGAGTTAATTAGAATATATCTGTGAAAAGGTTGTTCCAAAAGCATGATGACGAAAATACCAACTTAGACCCAACTTCGATCTCAATTCTTGCCAACTTACTCCCAATTTCGATCTCAAATCCTGACAACTGAACAAAATGAATTAACATATTTATCAGTTCAATTTAATTCAATCGTTTTAAATTTGTTTTATTTTAGCCTATTTTAACTTTTCAAAAACTTTTTTCAAATTGTGAGCAAACCAGAACAGACCAGAAATGATTGATAATGCATATATTTATGAAAAATTGTTTGTGTTTAATTTACTTATTTTTATTACTAAAATTTTTATTTCTTATTTTTCTCAGTAGAATTTTCTATTTTCCTTCGTTAGAGTTTTTTTTCAGTTTTAAGAAAAAAAAATACTTGAATCCAGTTGATCAGTTTTCACTCGCCCAAAAAAATTACAATGGAGCCCTCTCCAATAAAACTCTGACGAACCTCTCCCCGATTACTCCTCTCACCCCAAACAATTCGTCTCAAATATTGATGATTTGTCCCAATAAACATCTCACAGGACCTGTCCAATAAACCTTTTACTCCAACTATCTCATGACAAATACTGATGATTACAAACCACTCTGAACCCGCTTCAGTCCCAAATAATGATTGGGAATGATACTTGACAAAACTTGACAATTTTTGGGATCGATACTAAAGGGTGACATCTACCAAGTTAGTTGACCAAAGACTTAGGATTTGTTCCTGAATTCTGCTGACAATGGTTAAATCATTTCTTTTAAATTCCGCATTGCTAGATAATAATTCAAGCTTTCAATTGTTGAATTTTGGTTTTTTTCTGTAATGAAAAAAATTGCGAAATCCACTTACAGTTTAAGAACTCTCCGTACAGTTGTGGATTCCGCTTACAAATTTTGCGGATTTCAGTTGAATTTGCGGAATCGTGCTACTTTTCGCGGAATTCAATTGCAGATGCGATATCGAGAATAACTTGCTATACTCGGTTGTTGCAAAATCCGCGACAAAACAAATCTGCCGCCAAAACTTACGTTACATTTAATTGTACGCGGAATCCACAGGAATTTTGTAAGTGGAATCCCCTTACTTTTGGAACATGTTTAACGCTTTGTCTCTGGAGTCCAGGAACATACCGGAACAAAATTTTGTGCCTATCCAAGCGACGGTGTGTCCTCGCAATGAAATTTCGACTGGATAGGTTTTCGCATTACTGAGTTTAATACTAATGCTATAGTTACTCATTTTTTTAGCTTCAAATCATCTATTGGTAAAAACTATTAGTGTTTGCAATAAACTTTTTGGTGAAATTTCTAAAGGTGGTGTGACTGCACCAAATCAATTTTTTCTGTAGATAAAATAAAAAAGTTAGTTATGAATTATCATTGGTTATTAATAAATACTTCACAAACATAATCAGAGGTACAAGTGGGAAGCATTAAAGTAAATGAAACTCCAAACGGTCGCAACACGAACACAACACTAATGACCAGGTTTGAATTCAAGAGGCCAATTGGGGTCTTCTCCCAAAGGGTATTCAAATATACAAATCAATAGCAGATAAATAAAAAACAATTTTGACTTTGCTGTTTGTATGTTTTTGGTTCTATTGAAACAGGCTTAAATTTTGAAGTTACTTTAATTTCGAAGTTACGGCTCGTATGTTTTTGCATAGAAAAAAATATAATTTTGGCCCCAGATAAAAAGACATTTATAAATCAGGTTTGTATTTAGGAACAGTATTAACACAGGTGAAATTAGCGGAAACCTATAATCGTATTTTATCACTTGAGCAAAGGAGAGAACATACATTTCATCTTTTTCAGTTTGTTCCAATTTTTCGAAGGCTAGTAAAACTATAGTTTTTTCCCTTTTCAGATAGAAACCATGATATAAATGCATAAGGCAAACCACGGACCAACTAGAACAGGTTAAAGCAGTTTACAGCTAGCTAGTATCGGCTTTGATTTTTCATCAGATTTCTTTAAAAAAAGAAAAAGTTTCCTGCGAGACTAGTGACTTTTTTCCTCGAAACTAATTGATATCCTCATTGAATATAACAAAAAAATGTAACTACAAAAGTTCTTATCTGTTATTTACGCATAATACTTTAAGTTTTAATTGAACAATTCACCTCGATTTAACGTCGCTAAATTACTCTGTAAATTTCCTTGATTTTTTGAAACACCGGACGAACTCGACGAATGGTTTGTTAAAAAAGCGGATCTCTTTAAGCCCACCCCCTCTATGGTACCACTACTTCCCCTCTTTGGTACCTGGTAACAAACTGCCACCCTTTGCTAATATAATACAATGGGCTCTTTTTCCTTTCCCTCCCCAGCTCGCATGATCATCGAGTTTATGGTGTAACTAGTGGTTTTACAAGGTAAAGTTAACGACCAAATATGTTTGCATGGATTAGTTAGTTAAATTTTTTAGTTAACTTTAAATTAACTTTAAAATTTGCAGCTGGGGGAAAGGAAAAATTGACATGCACCGGTTAAGCATGCGTAATTTTTGAACCCAGTAAGAAATCCCCGTCTTTGCAAAGTGGGAATAGTTGAAGAGCAAGAGATCCAAAAAAAAAACAGCGCAAAGCAAATTCAGGTTTTTGTAACTATATCATACTCAGATTTCTCCGTGTTTTTGAGATGTTAATAAACTGACATGCCAACCTGACACAAATATTACTTTATCTGAGCTTTCCCCCGATGCGATTCTTAATATGTAAGAGAAGAGGTGATTGCTGCTGAATGTTTTTGTTCTAAAATACTTGATAATTCAATTGACATCATTGAAGATTGTCAAAAGTTTCGCTGAAGGCATGGTAGAGCTGAAGTTTGAAAGATTGACTCTTGTTTCGTTTCCTTTTGAACGCCAATCGATTCATAGCTCTCACTCATCCCCGTCTTACTCGAAAAACCAAAAAGCGGAAGAATAGTTGAATTGATTTCTAACAAAGAAACATAGCCAATGAAAGAACCGAAAAAAGTAAGGAACGCAGGTAAACAAAAAAACACTGACTTTGTTGAAAAAATCTCGAATTTCGAATTTCAAAGAGAAAGATAGATGCCCTTTAATCTCTTTGAATTTCTAGAAAGATTTAACTTTTGCGTTCTTTTGATAACATTAACCCAACTTGAGAAAATTGGGTCAAGAGATAAAATTTTTATTCCGCTGGAAATCCCAAAACTAAATTCCAATTTCGAAACTAAAAATAGTCCGCGTTTTTTGCGCCAATTCCACGTTCGTATTTGAAGAGTGCTATTTACGTCCTTTTCAGCCGATGAATTTGAATCGAACTCAAAAAGTGCATACATTTATAATTGCCTTCATAATTGCGTCAATATGTATGAATGCACATCTGTAGTTTGTAGAGATTTTATGCACATTTTAAAGACTTTTTCCTGAAAAAAAAATTGAAAACAATCAGCAGGACCTTTATAAGAGTCTTCACTACATAAATCACTCTTTGTTATCTCCGCTTACGCGTTAATAACGCGAAATGTATCGCGTGTTGATTGTCCCAAATCGGCCATATTGGCAATCTTTAAGCCACCCAAACTTTCAAACTAATAATCACGGATGAGAGA